CTTGACGATCAAAGCAGCATGGTATACTGTCAACCACTAGATGCATGTGGCAGCTCCTACCTTCTGGAAAGTAGATCAGTTACCGAAACCTCTGGATAAAATACTTTGTGGTCACCGTGCAACTCGATTAAGTTCTAATTTGCCCAAAATAATTGCAATGGTGTAGCATTCTTCTCGGAGGAAAGACTGTGGCAATTGTAGGATGCACCAAAGTCTTCGATTGCTCTATTTATTCTCGGCAGATATACAAAATGGAGACAAAACAGGTCAACATCATTTTTTGGATTCTCCCCTCGATTCAAGATCATGGAAAATTTCTGAAAAAGGGCAATTAACATGCCGATTTAGGTCTCCGTTCAGTCTTTCAACTCTTTGGTTTTCAACAGATTTTCCGGCAATCACTCCATGTTCACCTTGGTGCTGTATCATTTCCTCCCAAATCCTAATATTTTCCCTGCCATGGTCACTTTGAACTCAAATAGGGCTACCAAACATGGAAATTGCTAATGCTACCAAATTTCACCAAAACTTTATTGATTGTTATTAGAAGCCTCTGCAAAAGTAATTACCCTGCAACAGGTCAGTGACTATCTTCCACCTTATTAACTTATGATTCCCATCGATGTGACAAACATAGTTCAGACAAGGAGCATCATATACTCCACGCCATGGTTTATTACAGGATCAACACAGTGAATCGAATCACACATCTTTTGGCGCTGGATAGAAATGATGATGAAGATGCTACAGTATCTTCTATTTTTGAATAATAAGAAATATCTAAACAATTGTCATTATTTAAGTAATTCTTTATGTTTTTTGCCAAGGAAGCTGAGCCCTTTGTGTTTAAATGCAGACCATAGCTACTTAACTGGTATTTATGGATGTTATTATTGTCTATTACACACCAGTTTTGCTCGATACACAAATCATTAAGTAGTTTATTACATTTTGTTACCTTTGTAGCTGATGGGTCATCATTTCGGGTGATGATAGAATCAAATCGACATTGTTTTGCTGCTTCCTGATTCCTTTACCAAGGTTGCAGATGGATTGCACCACTTTTTCTGGTGAGTTGTTCTTGATGTTGTTGGTACCCACATGTAGTATAACAACATATATAGCACCAGGGAATGTTTTTAACTTGATATTGTAGCTTACGCCATTTTGCAGTCGCTTTTTATTTATGTGTTTGATCATTGCGTCTGAGAATAGCAACAGTTTGTTTCTGCTTGTCATATTTTGTTGGTCTAGGAGAATCTTGTGCTCAATTTTGGGTTCTGCTCGTCATCTCTTGTTATTGTAGCCAGATTTTGGGCTTGTTTTAATTTTCACTTTGATGAGCGTATTGCTGACTAGACTCAGTGATTGAGGGTTCATTGATTGCTGAATTAGTTTCTTCCATGTTGAGAACCATAAAAGAATTTTCACTGGAATATTTGGCTGAAAATGTTCCCTAGTTTGATTTTGTTCTTCTTGTTTGACTGCTAAATTAGCATAAATTTGATCCCCCATGCAATCATTACACTCATTACTATTGTTCAATAATCTAATGACTGTGATTTAGGCTTGCTTTTTCCTCTTCAGCATTTTTAACCTTGCCTTGTTGGTCGGCCAGTATGTCAGTCAAGTTGGTCATTCTTTACTCCAAAGCACCAGTTTTCGCCTTTGAGTTCATGGTTTTCTTTTTCAAGCACAGGTAACTTGTCCTTGTCTTGATTTTTGAGGCTGTTCAGTTGATTGGAATGATCAAGTAGCATGTTGTTAATAGCTAGTGTATTTTTAAAAAATCTTCTGATAACATTATTGGTTTGAAAAAAAAATCTTCTGACAACATTTGATTATTGGTTTGAAAGAGGCCTTTGGCAGCTTCATTAATATGGCTGACAAAAGGCAAGTCTTCGTTTGCTACGTCCTGTGATATAGATGCCATAAAGTTGAGCTTCTCTTACAAATTTAACACTTTGCTGACGAAAAATTGGAAAGCTTCAAAAGACGATGTCCATACGAGTTTTCGTTTATGACTGGTAGATAGATCATGTAGACTATAAACCTTGTTAAATTGCGGAATTCAAGGGGGTATCAAGTGTAGTGCAAGAGTAGTAAAAATAGTTTTGGGAAATATTCACCATTACTATATTTTCATGCAATTCATTTCTGTATGTATGCAATTCATATATATATATATATATATATATATATATATATAGAAATATACATAACATGTGACCAGATATATCTGTCACAAGACTTCATCCAATGTATTGATTACTTATGCAAGCTGCTTACAAAATCTCATAGGAGTGAATAAAATGTGTTTTTTGTACCTTTCTAATTTCTGTATCTTTCTGGTATCTTTTCTGTATCTTTCAAAAAAAAAACCTGGAACATATGAAAACATTACCATTAATGGAAACACAATAGACGTTGTTAGATCTGTCAAAATTCTAGGAGTTACATTGCAGAGTAATTTAAAGTGGAATGAGCACATCAACAACATTGTCAAAAAGGCGTCCAAAAGACTCTGTTTTCTGTCACAACTGAAAAGGGCAAAAGTACTATCTAACGACTCAGTTAACTTTTACGTGACATGTATCCGTTCACTGTTACTATATTCTTGCCAAGTTTTCCACTTTAACCTCCCCGAGTTTTTAAACATTATGCTGGAACGAATTCAGAAACGAGCGTTGAATATCGTATATGGTTACGATATACCGTATTCTGAAGCATCGGTAATGTCGAAACTGCATAAACTCTCTGATCATCGTAGTCATCTTCGTGATGAATTTTTCAACAAAATTGTAATGAACCCAAATGACAAACTTCATGGGCTTTTGAGGGCTGCTGAGTGTAATTTCTTTGTTAAGGAACAAAAGAAATTTCACTATACCTATATGTAAAACGGACCATTTCAAAAACTCTTTTATAATTGCAGCTACTGGACAGTATAATTACCATAGTAGTTCTAGTATTTTATCTTAAAAATTTTTAATTTTATATGTAAAACCTTTTTAAATTCAATTCTTTGCTGTAAAATGAAGGTTATAATTCTTAATAAACGATCTATCTATCTATCTAAACACTGCCAATGTTAGCCCAGTTCAGAAATTTAGTAGGCGTTTGGGTACGACGAACTCATTACATGCAAAATGGTATTGACCAAACCAATAATATACTTGAAAGAAATCGCCTATGAATTCCAAAGCAACTTGGGTACACATTTTAGCATCCCAAGTTTATTTGCAGTTGCACGCCGATTAGGATTTTTGTGGAAAAAGGTAAGCAAGTAATGTGCATATCGGATGTCTATATAATCCCAGAGCCAATGGCGTGGGGCGCCGTTCTGGGTGTAAGCCCGGGGCGAGGGTACTAATTCCCCCCGGCTATTTACACCTGGGGAAATGAAAGCAATAGCAAAGTCTAAAACTCATCAATGATCGCGGGCGCTCACCAACGATCTTGAGTGGGTGGTCATCCTCACTACTGATCTCAAAAATAAGGCTGATTGCTTGTAGCAGCGGAATAAGTGAGATTTCAATTTTAAAAGACATATATTTGAAAAATTGTTTCATACACAACAAGCTTGAAGCAATATTTTTTGAAGAAATGAGAAGAATTGATTTACTATGGGAAATTGTGAAATATACGGGCAAGTTTGCTTTGAATATTCAATGTTTACAAATTTTGTTGCTTTAACTTTTTGCCTAAAAACATGAACTGTTTTCCATTTCAACGAAGCTCTGAGTTTCATAAATAAATAATATACATAAAGATATTACTCGACTGTGATTGGTTGATTTCAGTGCAGTTAATCCCAAACAGCAGTGCAATTTTCTGTAATCACAGTGCAATTTTCTGTAATCACAGTGCAAAAATCTGTAACAAACTGATCTGATTGGTGGAAAAACATTGTGATGATTAAATCAACCAATCAGTTTAAAGCAATTTAGTTTAAAGAAGTAACGGTCACAGATTGCTTCTAAACAAAACAAACATGGCGCCACGCTACACAAAGTAAAAGTTGCCTTCGCGTGGAAAATATGGCTTTTATCTTTATTTTTAAATGGAAAAGCATTTACCTTAAACAAGACTAACAAAAATTACATAGTTGAGTGGAATTTTCAAGCCGTTAGCGTTGTATAATGTGACATAACAAAGCCAGGAAAACTTTGCCAGTGGAATGTTCGCTATAAACGCGTAAGTTAAAACTACAATTGTCTCGAACATTTTTATGTAAATGATTAAGTAATAGCATGGTTTCTCGTGAAATTTGGATATATAACATACACTCGTGAGGTTTTCAAAGACCTCAAGTAGCACTCGTCCTTCGGATTCGTGCTATTTTGAGGTCTTTGAAAAACTTACTCGTGCATGTTATATCCAAATTGCACTCGAAATCATGCTATTACCTATACTTACCATTTATTTGAGAAAAAATCTTAAAATGTAAAGGCGAACAAATTGATTTGAAGACTGAACTGAAATTACCTAACAATTTGTTTTATTTGTATTAAACTTATTTTGTTTTATTAAGTTAAAACATTTTATCGGCAAAATGTAGTTTAGTTGAATGAACATTTCAAAACATTATACGAAGCATTTCAAGTTAAATTTTACATTAAATCAAAGCTCGCAAAATGCAAAATAATATACCTACAGTATATATTTCGGAAATTTATTGTTGTATAGTTAAAAGTACGAATCTTTCAACTATTTTGCAGTTTGTACAAAAAATATGAAAAGTTAAAGAATATTATTGTGTTGTCATGGCAACAGTTGAGCACAAGCCTGCATTCAGTGTTGGTCATTTCTGAAAAACTTCATATTAATTTAATGTTTGGAAAATATTGGCGAGGGGTTACTACATGCATGGATTTCTAGTTACTGAATTTAATATGTGATAACGCAAAGCTACTGTGCTCGTGCTGGGTAGCTCTCAGTAAATTTCGTCTTTTATGATCAAATTTTCAATATTAGTGTTGTGTTTGTTTCATATTATTATGGGGGATGTAAAAGCTTTAAAGAGGGAAAACAATGAACTTAAAAAACGAATTAGCCAGCTTTCTAAAGATTTCAAGTCCCTGCAGCTGATGCAAGACAAGATAGCTGAAAAGTGCAAGGTTTATTTGAGTAGCAAGATACCAAATGAGAATGATGTTCAATTTCTTAGTAATGGCTACGATGAGTTGGTGAAATTCAAGAAAAGATACATAAAAAGAGCTGACGAAGGCTTGAGTACATAACGACTGGTGTGAACCAAATTGATAAAGCCATAAATGACGTGCTGCTTTATAGTGACCTATACAATCTGAAGATCGTTGGTGTACCACAGTTAAATAAGAAAGAAATCTCTCAGGAGACTGCATTACTGTGTGTAAATATGTTTCATGCTATGGGCATTGACATCTCAATTTCTGATATTGATATCACTCATGGAATTCCTATGCAGAAGGCTGCTGGAAATTGTGGTAATCAAGCAAACAATCCAATTGTTTGCAAATTTGTCAGGTGAATGGCTCGAGAAAAAGTTTCGATCGCAAGAAATAACACAAGCCAAACCTCAGTGAGCGATCTGAAATTTCCACCCACGATATTGGTAGATCATGTTAGTAATTTTAGTCACTTAACCCCGAGGTTGCTGGAGTTGTTTTATGAAAGCAAGAAAGCGCCGAACCACCAACAGATACAAGTTCTGCTGGGTGAAAGGAATGTCAATCTACCTTAGAAATTCGGATGACTCCAAAGTGGTTAAGTTGAATAGTATTCAAAATATTGTGGACTTGCAAAAACGTACAGTTGGTGTTTGAAATCAGTCGGGCTAATCTGGA